CCGCGCGCCACCGCGAGGGGGATGGGCTCGAAACGACCCGGGGGAAGCGAGTCGGCCGCTAGGGCGCAGCGCGGGATCTCACCGCCAGAGGCCTCCCAGCACAGGGCCGGTCCCGCGGCACACCCAGAACGACAGACTGGCCTCTCCGCCCACACACCCCACCCCCGCGCGGGGGAGGGGGGCGCACCCCTCACGGGGCCTCACGCCCACCGCCACCTACACCCAGAGCCGCAGCCGGCCCGGGAGAACGCTCTCGCGCCGCGTACCGGCGGCCCCCACAGCCCTCACACGCGCAACCCTGCTGTGCGCCGAAGGCTTCCCCCCGCCCGCCCCACTCCCCCTCAGGGCTCCGGGGGCACTGCGCCACCCGGGGCCGCCACCGGCCGACAGAGGCCGGGAGACGACACCCACGTGAGGCGAGGCCAGCTCGGTCCCAGACCGCGGGGGACGGGGGTGGGAGGGGACAAGGGGGTCGCACGCACGGGACGAGGAGGAAGGCCGGCAGCGGTGGACGCAGCAGGGGCCGCGGGACGGGGGCGAGGGCGCCGGCCCGGGGACCAGAAAACACCGGGACACAGCGGGCCACCAGGAAAACCAGCGCGGGATCCCACCGCCACCCACACACGAGGGCGGTCCTGCGACGCCTGGGACGCCGGCCGTTCCCGGCCATCCCTGGAGCGGGCCCCACAACCCGGCCCCGCCGCCAGGGCCGGCTTGCCGTCCAGCCACCTTCCTCCATCCGTCCATCCATCCATCCATCCACGACAGATCAATCTTCCATCCAAGTCTGACCCCGAGGCTCAACACCCTGGGGACACGCTCTCCAGCGAGGCGGCCCAGACCGGGCCCACAACACCGCCACCGGCTGCGGCTCCGGGGCGAGGGCGGGCGCGACAGGCTCCTCCCCCTCACCAAGGCTGCGGGGCTGGGGGAGCCGGGGCCCACCAGGCGTCGCGCCGCGACCACCCCCTTCCCCCTGGGCTCACACCACGGGGCGGCCTGGCGCACACAGCACACACGCACGGCCCCCCCACTCGCCAGACACCCGGCGGGGCCCAGCGGGACCCTCCCCCAACTCGGAGGGGGGAGGCGCAGGCCGCAGTAGGCAACAAGCGGCACACGGCCCCACCGCGGGGCCGGCGCACCCATCAGCCCGCTTCCCACGGAGGGGAGGGGAGCTTTCTGCCCACGTGCTCTGGCAGTCGCCGCGGTGGCCACTGCGCGCTCGGGAGGGGCAGCGGCTGGGGCTCCCTCTCGGATCGCTAGAGAAGGCTTTCTCACCGAGGGCGCGCCGTCTCTCCTTCGGGCAACACGGAGGCACACCGGGAGCCGCCAGTCCTCAACTGGGCGGGAGGGGTCTGCGGTACCGGTAAGCGGACGACCACGCACAGGAGCGCGTGCGCGGCCAGGGCCGGGGCAGAGCCCGCGCCCGCCCCCTGCAAGGCCTCATCGGGCAGCCTCCGCGACGAGGGGAGCACACAATGCTCTCACCGCCTCGACCCGCTCCCACCCAGAGAGAGCCGCTCATGGGACACACGCACAGCGCCGTGGCGGGGACCCGAGGAGGACACGGGGTTAAGGGAAAACGGCACCACCGCTCGGCCTCGAGCACCTGAGGGACGCCCTGGAGCACGCCAGGGCCACCGCCCAGGGTCCATCGAGGCACGCTCACACACCCGTGCGGGGGCGTGTGGCGTGGCAGCGGCACAGCCCTCCCCACCACGGGGAGGGCCGCTCGCGGGGCAACACGCCAGGAAGGCGAGCAGGCGCATCTGCTGTGTCCGAAGACCAACGGCCCCACCAGACACCCCAAGGCGGGGGACGGGAGACCGAAGGTCAGGGCCGGAGGCCCCACCCCAACACCCCCCAAGGGGCAAGGGGGAAAGACAGGCGAGGGGCCCCGCGGACAGACCGAGAAGAGCGGACCCGTTCACTGGGAACGCCCGTCCCTCGTCCGGCACGGCTTAGGCCCGGCCCGGGAGAGCACCACCACACCACATCGATCAGTTGAAGAACCCTGGATACTCTTATACACGTGTGTGGGCGTGCGCACGTCTCTGTGCACACGTGTGGGTGTGTTTGTGCGTGCAAGTGTGTCTGTGTAACTTTCCAAAGCTCATCTCGGCCACGCGTTCCTCTCTGTTGCACCTCACTGTCTCTCTGCCATCTCTGAGTATTGCTTCCCGTGTGAAAACTGTCAGCATCTAAGGACGTGCACCTCTGGAAATGCCTTCTTTCACACTCATTCTCTTTTGATCAAGTTACTTGAGAACACTTCCTATTTTGAATCAAGCAGGTGACTCAAGTACAAGGAGAGGAAAACACTTGTCAAGGTTAAGGGATCCAGGCCCCCAGGGCCCTCCTCTCTCAGGACCTGGCGGCTGTGAGGCTGAGGCACGGCCCACAGCGGGAGGCGGTACAGAACCTCCTGGAAGCTGGCGATGTGTTCTGCATGAAGCTCTGGCTTCCGCCCCTTGCAAGAACGCCTTTTCAGGGTCTCAGTCCGATCCGCCTTCATTTTTTTTTTTTCAGCTGAAATTTAGTTAGAATAAACTGTTTCAAATTGTACATTTCAGTAGGAAATACTTTTTAAATTTGACCTTCATTTTATCTATATGAAAGGTCAAGATACAGATGTTACTTTTGAATAGCCCACCTGTTGACAGCTGCGGCACACAGGCTCTCGGTTGCAGGGTGCGGGGTCTTTGGCCAAAGTGTGCCGCGTCTGGATCCCTGAGCCCTGATCGAACCCTAACCCTCAGTAAGGAGCGCCGAGTCTCAGTCACGGGCCCAGCAGGGCCGCCCTCGGGTGTCACGTGTACATCCATGTGCCCCAGCCCTCCCCAGGTCGGTTCTCCTCAGGAAAGGAGGCTCCGCTATTCATTTCTTCAGCCACTGCTGTCTGTCGTGAGCTTCTTCGCTTCTGACACTTAAGACAGACACCACACTGGCCCTCAGCACAGTCCCGCCTCTACTGAATTGCCTTTCTGCGCTCTCTGCTGCATTCCGGAACATTCCCTCAGTGCTATACTCCGACTTCACATGTGGCCGCTCAGCTGTCTGCTTGACTGCCTGACTTTTTTTAAAATGTTGAATCTACTGGATTGTTCACGTCAAAACTGTTCGACTCTTTTCAGTAACTGCCTGTTCTTCTACGAAATAATCCACATGCTTGCCTCCCTTTATGTTTCTGTGAGGATGGGTCCCTCTCTGTGTCCACACGGGTGGACCTCCCTCTGACCCCGAGATGATCCCCGCTGCCGGGGCCACACCGCCTACCTCTCCCCGCTTCGCTGTGGTTCCCTCTCCATTTGGGGAACTTCTCTTCTGCACTTGTCTGTGGTTTCGTGTTGCAGAAACACTCTCCGGAGCAGGTCTCAGCGTCAGGAGCAGAGGAGGCTCTGGGTGGGCACCACACTCGCCCCCTTGGGTGCAGTCTGAGCCAGGAGCCCATCACGTCCACCCTCTCCTGTCACCTCGTCTGGAAATGAACCGTGATGACGGCAGCAAGAGCCCACAGCCCCTCTGAGGGCTGGGGTTCGGATAACATGCAGAGGAGGAAGCTCAGGCGCAGAGAAAGGGCACCGTCGCTCAAGGTCCCATGAGCAGCGGGCACACGTTTATAGGAACATCTGTTCCCACCAGAGTGAGAGCTCTGACCCCAATCAACACCCCCGAAAGCCTGCAGGTGATGGCAAGACCGGAGGAGCCTGTGCCCAAGGACCCCGGGGCCCCGAGGAGGCAGGAAGCCCCCGGGGGCTTGTTCCCAGCAAGGCGGGCTGGACAGTGATGGGGTAAAGAGAGACGCCCCTGAAGGGGGCTGTGATGGGGGGCTCCCCACTCCAGGGCAGGGGAGGAGTCAGTTTCCATCCTGATTCCCTGCGCATCTCCTCTGGGCTCTCGGCCACGCGGACTCAACTGAGCCCCAGGGAGACGCTGAACGTGCGTCCCTCATAAAGGACAGACTTGTGGACACACCGGGGAAGGAGAGGGTGTGAGGAATAGAGTAGCATGGAAACACACACAGCACGTGTGAAACACACCGCCGGGGGACGTGCCGTGTGACTCAGGAGCCCACACAGGCTTCTGTGACAGCCTAGGGGGGGTTCAAGAGGGAGGGCCACGCGACACATATGGCCCATCCATGTTGATGTGTGGCAGAACGAGCACCATACTGTGAAGGAACCATCCTCCAATTAAAAAACGATGTGTCTCTGGGGATCTCAGCCCCAAGGGCAGCAGGAGCCGGCATCCTCCCCGAAGCATCTCCAGGGCCTGGTGACCCGGCCACAGTGAGGAACCCCAGGGACCTGCTGATGGAGGGGCAGAGGAGGAAGCAGACCCCGAGGCGAGGCTTGCAGAGGGAAGGAGCCTGGCCGTCCTCATCTGGAAGGGGCGTCTCAGGAACACACTGGGACTGTCATGGGGACGACACCAGGCTTTCAAGAAGAGGCTGTTCCCCTTCCTGCGGGGAGGCTGATATGACAACCACGTGACAGGAAGCCCCAGCCTTGGAGAGGACACACCCTGTGCTCTGTCTCTCTGGAGGACACCCAGGTCTCCTCCATCCTCACGGCCTGGACCGCAGGGAGGAGACGCCATGGCCCCCACCCTCCCCGCCCTGCTCTGCCTCGGTGAGATGAGGAGGGGCAGGGGGAGCCCTGGACTGGAGGGACCCCCCACCCAGCCAGCCTGCTCCATCAGGGGACCCCAGGGCCCAGGAGGCTCCCGGGGACGAGAGGAGCTGCTCAGAGCTGAGGGCAGACCTCTCACAGGGCTCTCTCTTCCAGGGCTGAGTGTGGGCCTGAGGACCCAGGTGCAGGCTGGTGAGTCTGTCCCCAGGGCCCAGCTCTCTCCTCTCTTGGGGACAAGGGTCACCCCGAGGCCCTGAGGAGGGGAGGGCAGCTCAGGGCTCATAGAGGGGGAGTCTGGGAGGTCTGGGCTGAGAGCCAGGGCCTGGGGGCAGACCCCTGGTGAGCCCGCCTCTGATTTCCTTCCAGGGGCTCCCCCCAAACCCACCATCTGGGCTGAGCCGGGCTCTGTGGTCCCCTGGGGGAGCCCCGTGACCATCTGGTGTCAGGGGCCCCTAGAGGCCCAGGAGTTCCATCTGGATAAAGAGGGAAGCTCAGTCCCCTGGGACAGACAGAAACCCCTGGAGCCCGGGGACAAGGCCAAGTTCTCCATCTCACTGATGACTGAGCAGCACACAGGGCGCTATTGGTGCTACTATCTCAGGGGAATTCGCTGGTCAGAGCTCAGTGACCCCCTGGAGCTGGTGGTGACAGGTGAGAGACTCTCGGGGGCCTCAGGCTCTGCCCTCGGGAGGGGGTCTGCTCTCAGGGGGTGTCCCTCTCACAGCCCAGCCCTGGGCGGGGGGTGGAGGGGAGTCCTAGGGATCCAGCTGCCTCCTTCTCTCCTAGGACCTTACAACAAACCCAGCCTCTCAGCCCTGCCGAGCCCTGTGGTGACCTCGGGAGGGAACGTGACCCTGCAGTGTGGCTCCCGTCAGGGATTTAACAGGTTCCTTCTGACCAAGGAAGGAGAAAATGAGTCCTCTCAGACTCTGGATGGACAGCGGAGCCCGAACGGGCAGACCCAGGCCCTGTTCCCCGTGGGCCCCGTGAGCCCCGGACACGGGTGGACGTTCAGATGCTACGGCCTTAACAGGGACACCCCCTGGGTGTGGTCAGCCCCCAGCGACCCCCTGAAGTTCCTGGTCTCAGGTGAGGAAGTCCCGACCTGACCCCACATTTGTGCAGACAAGACAACGTCCTGGGGTCTCTGCTCCCAGGGGAGCCCCGTGAGGAGGAGAGAGAGCGTGGTGGTCACAGGACAGACACACAGACAGAGAAGGCGAGGCCTGGGGCTGGGCCGGGAAGGGTGTCCACGGGGGACGCGGTCCCAACAACCTGGCATCTGTCTCTCCCCAGGGCTGTCTGGGAAGCCGTCCCTCCTGACCCCGCAGGGCCCTGTCGTCACCTCTGGACAGAACCTGACCCTTCAGTGTCGCTCTGACATGGACTACGCCAGATTCGCTCTGTCCAAGGAGGGGGGACAGGACCTCCCCCAGCGACCTGCCCGGAGGGCCCAGGGGGGGCTCTCTCAGGCCGACTTCCCCCTGGGCCCGGTGGGCACCGTCCATGGGGGCCGGTACAGATGCTACGGTGGACACGGCCTCTCCTCCGAGTGGTCGGCCCCCAGTGACCCCCTGGAGCTCCTGGTGGCAGGTGAGGGGCCAGCGGGTCAGTCGGGGGCCAGACTCTGCACAGGCCCCACCGGGGAGCCCCAGGGGTGATGCTGGGACCAGGGGGAGGGGTCCCAGGGAGGGGACAGAGAGATGGGGTGGGGGAGGGGGAGACTCGGAGAAACAGACGGCGCTGAGGGTCCAGAGAGGCAGCGGAGTCCCGCTCAGAACCAGGGCCGGGCCCGCACCCCCTTCCTCTCTGCAGGATGGCTCAGAGACAGACCCTCCCTCTCAGCACGGCCGGGCCCCTCGGTGGCCCCGGGGGAGAACGTGACCCTGCTGTGTCAGTCAGGAGACGGGACGGACACCTTCCTTCTGTCCCAGGAGGGAGCAGCCCATCACCCCCTGCGTCTGCGCGCCCAGGATCAAGGCGGGCGGTTCCAGGCCGAGTTCTCCTTGAGTCCTGTGAGCTCGGCCCACGGGGGCACCTACAGGTGCTACCGCGCACTCAGCACAGAGCCCCACCTGCTGTCACGGCCCAGCGAGCCCCTGGCGCTCCTGGTCTCAGGTGAGGCCCGTCTGTCCGTCTGACTCAGCAGCTCGGGGCTCTGTGCCCTGGGAGGCCCCGGAGGTCCTGGAGGAGGGGGTGCTGAGGGAGGGGTCCCCTGAGGGAGGGGCCTCGGAGCTCACACCCCACCCCTTCCTCACGCACTGGGGTCCGGGACGGTCTCGGGGAGGCCACAGGCCCGTGCAGGGCAGAGGGCAGTGAGGTGGGGTCCCCGGGTCAGCCCAGCCCACCCCTTCCTGGGCTCATTCCCAGGACCCATGGGCCCAGCCCCCACCCTCGGGCCCCAATTCAACAACTGGGGAGTCACAGGGCTCAGTGCTCAAGGGAGACAGCCCACCCCAGGGCGCTTTGAGATTGTCTGGGGGCACAAGGCCCCTCAGATCGTCATGGGCCGGAGGGGAGTCGGGCAGAGATGCCGCGGGAGCCACAGGCTGGAGGGGCCTGAGGCTGCGGGATGGGGGTCAGTCTGGGGAGGAGCAGGCCCGCCCCCACCCCATCCTGCCCCCGGGAGGCTCCCCGAGGAGGACACGGCCCACCCACAGCCTCCCTTCAGGACCCTCGGGCCCCCGACACCCTCCCCCATCACCGCGGTCAGACCCAGAGTGAGGACGGGGACAGCGTCCCCGTCAGGGGCTGGGCTCGGGGCCGCGTCCTCTCCCGAGAGGCAGGTGCTTGTGCCGGCGCTGACCTGTGCGCCCTCACCCCAGACTACACGGTGCAGAATCTCATCCGGATGGGCTTCGCGGCCTCAGTCCTGCTGCTCCTCGGGGTCCTGCTCTGCCAGGCTCGGCACGACCGTGGAGGAGCCCGAGACGCGGCCCGGAACTGAGCACAGGGCCCCTCGACACCTTCCAGAGCACCCCAGCCCCCGACACGAGCGTCCAGCCCGGGAGATTCAGAAAGAGCCTCTGACCCCGGGGGGGAAGACGCTCCGCGGAGGCAGGAGGAGGCCCAGGCGTCCCGGGGAGGGGGACCTGGGGGCTCGGCCTCCACTCACGGGGCTTCCCCCCTCCCTCCCGGGGAGGACGCCCCAACTCCCGGCTCCTCCCACTCCCGGCCGGAGGTGCATCCCAGTGGCAGGGGCGGGTCCTCACCCTGCAGGCCCTCAGGCTCTGTCCGCTATCCTGGACGATGTGAGCCTCATTGTTCATGCCCGCCGTCTCTGGTGTGCGCAATGACCTCCATCCCTTCTCAGAAACAGAACGTCGTTTAAGTAACTGAATAAATGGGTGTAAGCGGGGCCCCGTTTGGAACAGATGGATCCAGATTCTTCCCTGAACCCCCTGGGCCCCTGACACCCTCCTCTCCTCATCAGATGACACCCGTGTAGTTTCTCCAGAAACACTGTCAGTGCGATGGGATCCCTGGCGCTAGAAGTGACAGTCAGGGCTACGCTGGTAAATGAGCTCAGGAATATATCGTTTTGTAAAGAGTGCTGATATGGGGTTTCCCTGGTGGTGAAGAATCTGGCAGCCAACGCAGGAGACGCAGGTTCAATCCGTGATCCTGGGGGATCCCACGTGCCAAGGGGCAACTGGGTCCGTGAGCCGCAGTGACTGAGGCTGGCACGTCCTGGAGCCCGCGCGCAGCCAGAGAGGCCAGTGTTGCAGATGCCCAGATGCCTCAGCGAGGGAGCAGCCCCGCTCATCACAACCAGACACACCCCTGTGCACACAGACCCAGCACAGAAACAATCATCAGGCAATAAATTCTTAAAGAGCCCAGGCGTGTGAACTGTGTGTCTGCTTTGGTGCAAACGCTCTCCGTGGCCAACCTCCAGGAGCCCGGGTGAATGGGCTAAATGCCGGGTGGGAAGGAAGGAGCAGGCTGGCTTTCCCAGAGGAGCGAGTCTGGTCCACCCACCCCCACCGATGGCCCCACATGCACAGATGTGTCCTTTGCAGTACACGTCACATAGGATGGTCTCCACCTCAGTTTCATGCCCCAGGTTCCCTGAGATGAGATGCCCACCTCCTAGTTCATCTGTGAGAGAGGGGAGGAGAAAACGATGGAGGAGACAAGGCTGACTCTGACGAATCCCGCATATCACGGGCAGGTGTACTCATCACCCTGCTCAACCTAGAGAGTCGGCAGCAATTCTCAGTGAAAAGCAGAGACACAGCACTGGTCCACACTTGCATAACCTAGAGGAAGATGCGTGCACAGCCACGAGGGTGCAAGCAGAATGTGGACACGTGGGTTGTTCCCAGTAGAAAAGATTGCAGAAATCACTTTCACCAAAATGAATGGTTTGGTGTATATATCTGCAACAGAATTTTAAACAAAAAATTCAAAAAGGTGGACTGCTAGAGTAACACAGGTCAGTTTTCAAGCATAATGGTGAATAACTGAAATAAAACTGTAGGAGTCCATCCCATCACATCAAATTCAAAAGGCAACAACATGGAACTCAAATAAATAAAATAAGAAATGAAACAGGAGGAACAACAGCTGCTACCAGGTTGCCCTGGTGGCTTGGTGGGTACGAATCCAGCCGCCAATGCAGGGGACGTGGGTTCCACCCGGGCTGGGAAAAGATCCCACACAGGCCGCAAATGCTGAGCTCGCGGGCCCAGAGCCCAGCCCTGCGACAAGACACACCATCAAAACGAGGAGCCCAGGCACCGCAGCGAAGAGAAAAGCTGCGCTGAGCTCAGCACGACGTGGGAAAAGCCCCTGGGCCGCAGGAAGACCCAGCACTGTCCTCTTTCGCTCAGGCGTGTCCAACTCTCTGCGGCCCCATGGACTGTAGGCTGCCAGGCTCCTATGTCCGATTCTCCAGGCGAGAATACTGCAGTGGGTTCCCATGCCATCCTCCAGGGGATCTTCCCCAACCAGGGATCGAACCCAGGTTTCTCACATTGCAGCAGATTCTTGACCATCTGAGCCACCAAGGAAGTCCTGCACAGCCAAAACTAATTAATAATTAAGTTTTAAAAATTGATACCTCAGAAATACAAAAGTTTATGAGAGAGTACTACGAACCACTGTGTGTTGACCAATCTGACAGCAAACCTAGAAGAGATGCAGGCGTCTCTAGAGACACAAGCCTGCCAGAACTGAGTCAAGAAGACGTAGACAGCCTGAACAGAGCGGCCACGGGAAGTGACACAGAATCTGTAACATACCAATAAAAACTCCGTGCAAACCAAAGGCCAGAGCTGGGTGGCTGCATGGAGGAGTTCCACCAAACTGACAAAGAGGAGCTTATACTGGCCCTCTTCAAACTCTTCCAGGAGACTGAAGGGGAGGAAACACTCCCAAAGTCATTCTATGAAGCCACCGTCACCCTGATACCTACACCAGACAAAGACACAACCAAAAAAGAAAGGTTACAGAACAAAGCTGTTTATGAAAATACATGTAAAACGCACAACAACATATTAGCTAACCAAATTCAACAACACACAGAAAGAATCACACACCATGATCAACTTGGATTCATACCAGGGTCACAAGGATAATTCAACATATGCAAATCGATCAATGTGAATCAACACATCAACAAGAGAAAAGACAAAACAACATGCTCGTCCTAAAAGGTTCAGGGAAAGCATTGATAAAATTCAACATCCATTCTTCATAAAAACTCACAAAGTGAGTACAGAGGGAAGACATCTCAATGTAATAAAAGCTATTTATGACAAGCACAGTCATCACAGTACTCAAAGAAAAAAGCTAAAAGCCTTTCTAAACCTCTGGGACAAGACAAGGACGCCCACTCTCATCATTTGTGTTCAACATACTACGGGAAGTCCAGTCACAGCAATCAGACAAGAAGAAACAAGGATGCAACTTGGCGGCAGGAAAGAGGCAAAACCGCCCCGTATGCAGAGGACATGACACTCCATTTACAAAGCACTAAAGAGCGCAGGCACAAGCTGTCAGAACTGAGGGAGGGAGCACGCCAGTCTGCGGAGTGGGGCAGGCGGTGTGGTCTGGGTCTGCAGTCTCTGCGTGTGTGTGTGTGT